ATGAATCTCAAAACGTAACTGAAATACTAAAAAAATAGTGATGTAAAAACGTTATAATTAAAGGGTTGTAGATAAAATATTTAAATTTAACTATTCGAGAACACTTTAGTTTTTTAAAACAGATACGTCTACAAAAACCGTTGACGTTCTGTTAAAATGACATTTATATCAAGTTAAACTTCAAAATTAACAATTACTACCTGATAACAATTACTTAATAAGGTAAAACCCAAAAGCCCCAAACTTTCTGTATAATTATTTTTAATTTTTACGTATGTTCTTTAAAATCAAAGAAGCGATTGCCATACATTACTAACATCTACAGATGCATGAGCAATACATTTATTTTTATTAGATTGTATTAAAAAAGCCTCTTTTATTTTTCTTTTAGAGGCTATCGCTTCTTTCATTATAATTTTGGTGTTATTAAAATTTATTTTGTGCCTTGTGTCCCATGAATGCTGACAAATCTTAGATTTGTGCAAATCTCCCTTTCTTAAATAACCTTTATGTTCTTTAATTCGAACATTTAAGGGTCTAGATGTTTCACCAATGTAAAATTTATCTTGCAGTGGCGAAATATCCATATAGGATTTTTTGGAGAAATATTAATATTACTACTCACTTAGGAATATGGACAATGCTTTGGAATATTTGTGTGATGTAGTTAGGAATTTAATTTTAGCACATTTCCAAAGGCTTAAGCTTCATTCAGAACCTCGTAATTAGTGGAATAAATTAGTGGTTTCAATTAGCTTAGAAGTTTGTTCCTCTAATTTGAATGTAAGCATTCAGAACGTCAAAATTAGTGGTAGGAATTTTTAATTAATGGAAAAATTTAATAAATTTTCAACTTTTCCACTAATTATACTTCAAAATTAACGGGGAATGTCATTTTGGCATTTGACTATCATCTGTCAAGAGAAAAATGTGGTTAGAAATCAAAATTTTATTGTTTTATCAGCTAAATATTAGGCTTTCTCTATGGATACAACTGATTACCACATACAAGGTGTTGCTAGGATATTCTATTAATTATAATTGTGGTTTTAGACATTGTGAATGATCGTAAAGCTGTTTCTTTGTTTTAGCTATGACTGATTGACGTGATTTTTAAGCAAGGGGTGTTGTCCAATGACCACTCATTCACTATTAATATTTGGGGAATAGTTTTGTTAGATTTGGAACACTAGTCCTCCTCAGTCTGGAGTAAATGGTACTTCCACAACCTGTTAGTTTGATAGCCAGAGCATTAACATGTCTTGTTAATTTTTGTTGGAACTTTTGTTAGGCTTCAGGCAGCAATTTCTTGTGTTACACTCTCACCAGTGTTGAGAATTTGGTCATGCAGAATATATTTGTTGTGAATGCATTTTGAAATGTTGAGCATAGATCTAATGGTGCGTTTAGACTTGAGCACGCACGAGCGGTGCGTGCGCGCACGGCATTCGTTCGCGCTCTCGGCTCCGTTCAAATTAAAAACTTCTTTTTCGACGAATGAAGTGATCCATTTGTGCGCGCACAGCAGAGTTGTGTTGACGAAAATAATGGACGACCAAGAAATAGTCGAGGCTGCAGTCATTGTTATGCACAGCTTAATTATTAAAAAGGAGAAAAATCGAAAACATCGTCGCTGGTGGCAAACCCAAATTTTTAGAAATCGATATAATTTACTGCAACAACTTCGTGTCTGAGGAGGGCTATGATCAGTTCAAAAACTTTACAAGAATGACCAGACCCGACTTTGAATATTTACAAAATTTAATAACACCAAAAATTACGAACAAAAGATACAAATTTTAGAATAGCAATTTCATTTATATCGACATATTCAATATTAATTTTATTTACAAGATCTTGCCATGCGTTTTTTTTTTATTTTTTAAAAATACAAATAATGTTTAACATCCCATAATATAGGCAAATTTTCATATTCTTCAATTAATAATAACGAAGATTCATTGATCCACTCCATAATTTTAATAAAGAAAACGAAAAAAATCACACACGCACGCACGAACGCAGATAAAACAAATTGCCGGTGCAAACTGAGCGTTCGCGCACACATAAAATCCCTTTGAGCACGGACCAAAACCCGACACCAGACGGCTCACGTTCGCGGCTGCTCGCGCACAGACAGATTCAGAGTGAGCGTGAGCATTCGCGGAGGATCAGCGCGTGCTCAAGTCTAAACGCACCATAATAGCTTTGATCTGAAACCTTTCCAGGATTTCTTGTTGTTATTACTTGATGTACTCCAGAGTTCTATTCCGTATGTCCAAACTGGCTTTACAGTTGTTTTGTAAACTGTTATTTACTTTTGTTTGTTCGTGAACTGAGAATTTGCCATCAGCCAATGATCGAAGTTATGCGTCCACGGCTTACGTCTTCTCCTCCAAATATGTTACTGCGAGGTTAGCCCCCTATGCAGATGCATTTCTAAGTATTTTGCGGTAACGTCGTGTGGAATTTGTTCTTTGCTTAGTGTAATTGGTGGGCAATCGCCTTTGGGTAGAGTTAATAAAGATTGCCTTGCTTTAGTTAGCCTTAATTTTTAGTCTTTTAAGGTTTACAGATGCAATTGCTGGGATTGCATTTACTGACACTTGTCACCAACGGGGACGTTGGCAGCAAAGAATATACCAAGAAAAAGAACGAAAAATGGTTCCAAGTCAGAGGCGCCATCTGTTGTGGGAGGTTGACATTGTGGGGGATTGATATTAAAATACGCGCCATTATATTTCATATCAATTAAACTTTTAGTTACGCCATCCATGGACATATTCGCCGCTATGCTGACTAACTGGAACTTAAATTTCGCGCTGGGGATTCAGGTGGTAGCTCTGCTGTAAAACATGTCAAGTTGCCGCATTTATTTATTTATTTCCTGATATTGTTATTCGTTTTGACACTTTAGCTTTGTATTATTTGGATACTTTAAGCTTGAAAATGTTTACTAGCAGACCTTGCAGTCGAACATTGTTCTTTTTAAAACCTCTTTTAGCGCGAGGTGTACAAGATAGCTTAATAGCCGTAAAAAACTCATCGCAACTTTATTAGAATATTTTGAACTGAAAGTGGTGAACTTAAGTGCTATTAAGAAGGTGAGTTTTGTTGATGGAAGTAATAACTGTTTTTATATTTATAATTAATTTATTTTTGTTTCCTGAAATACTTTGATTAAACCAAAATACTTTGGATGTGCTTTGGATCGTGTTTTGCATCGCTTCTATATGCCATTAGAATTAACGGTATGTGCTGATACCAACCCGTTTGATGCTTATCCACAACTTTCAAAAAGTAGTCTTATATATCTGTACCGTATGTTACATTTTAAAATCTATTATGCCGGGTCCAGACCAAGGTGACAAAAAATTTAAGCAATTAAGCAAACTTGTCACAAAAAAATGGAAACTTCTGACACAAAACTTGAGACAAATTGTCCACACCGCAATGACAAAAGTACAAATAAGTCAAAAGTTTAGTTGTTACGAATGAGTTTTATTAACCATGTGTGATTTCACTGGTCTCCTACTGTTGGCAGCACACGCAATCCTCACTGCGCCGACAACATGTCCCAAAATATACGAACAAAACATAGATACTTTGATCTTTAACGACTTGAGACGGGACATTGAAAAGTCTCCGAATTTTGAAACAAAACAAAAATGAGACAAAACTGTCGCAGAAATGTATTGGATTTGTCACAACTTTGTCGTAAAACATGAATGTTTCTGTCTTGTCATTGTTTTGTCTGCTTGGTCTGGACCCGGCATTACAGATTCAATTTTGTCTTTGTATAAAAAATAACGAATATTGAATGGGCTCAAAACAATATCAAATACTCCATGAAGATGAAGTAATTTTGATAGTTTACTTGGCTGTAACAAATATTAGAGTTGAAAAAAAATGGTTCTGGAGGCCATGTAACAATCTCAATGCATCATGAAGATATAGTTATTGGCAGTTTACTCTGTTCTGGCATATCTTTTGACTTTTGGGTTGGGCACATCTGTGTGGTCAGTTACGATAGGTTCTGACCTATCTTCTTAGTTGATTCATGGTTTTCTGATACATTCTTAGAAATCTGAGGTTACACTGCAGTAGTTGCATTTGTGCTATTAGTGTTTCAACAGGTTCCATGTGATGATTAGTTCTTATGTCATCCAGAATTCAGTTAGTAGCAAGGAACAACGGCCTAGAAGGGAAGATTTACTTAGATTTAAGTAAAAACAATCTTCGGATTGCCTTCGGATCTAACAGGACACTGTCTCCTCAACGAACACCTCAGTAGGCTGAAGCTGAGAAACAATGGTGAATACAGATTCTGTGGGGAAAATGGGGAAACACCAGAACACCTTATCACTGAGTGCGCCGAGACTATGACCGTTCGTGCCGTGAACTTTGGTACGGCTGAAGTGACGGCTGATGGAGAGTTGGCCTCTGTAGAGCCGTCTCAGACACTGGCTTTTATTAAAGTCGCGAGACTGTATGATGAGTTAGAACTCGTTATAACTCAAGAAAGGGGAACACACAATAGATCTGTAAGGTCGCAGTGATTAACTCCCCTCCTAAACATTCTACATTCTATAGTAGCAAGGAAACGCTTTCTAGATTTTAGACTACTCTGGACTTTTCAAAATCTTCCCTGACTTTAGTGAATCTATTGAAACGAAAAATTGTTTTTTCTTCAAATTTATTTTTCTCTCGGTACTAAAACAAGGAAGAGGATTGGTTTAAAAACGATCTCTATGTATCATGGTACAGTAATTGATAGTTCATTTCCTGCTATCACAGATATTTTTGATTGGAAAAAATGCCACGAGCTCACGCACGAATTTCCTCCGACCGTACCGCCGCGCTTGCCTCCCCGATTGTACCGGTCGGTGGACCAGCCAAGTCTTGGTCGCGGTACCTCGACCGGGTACCGCTCGGCAGCAATGGTGGCGTCGTACCGCTGCATTCCGATGATATTTTGTCTCAGAATGTACCTGGCCGCTACAAAGTTAAAATAGGGAATTTAGTCGAGGAATACCAACGCCGGTCGGCGGTTAGAGACGTGGTCGCTGCTCAGCGTCGGTTACGCTCCATTTTTTCATCTCTTTGGCCATCGTTGCCGAAACGCGTGTATTTATCCGTGTCGACACTAGTGTGATTGTGTGGTGATTTCAGTGATCGTTTGCTTTCGGGTCTTCTTCAGTTACAAGTGCGTCAAGAGTTTGTTGGATTTTTGGTTTGGCTTAATTGATATGGGCGCAAATGTGCGCGCATCTTGGATTTTAATTTAAACACATGGTAAGTGATTAACACTGTTTCTAAATTAATGCTGCTATGTTTAAAAGTGTCTGCTTAGTGTACATAGTTTCTGTCGTTTCAGGATTATACAATAATAACAGTGACCTTTGGTGAAATTTAAATCAGTTTAGTATTAACCAATTATGTTTGCTGTCCTAATATCCGTGTGTTTTAATATATCGTCAAGTTTGTTATACATTGTGTATCATCGTCTTAAAACATGACATATTTCTTTTATTTAAAAATATGATAAAGTTTCTTGTGATCAAACTGGTTTAATATTTTTAGTTGCAGTTTCAGTCCGAATATTTACTTGCTATTTTATCATTACTGAAGATGCTAGATGCTGGTTTCCCAGAGATAATAGACTAATCTACCTATGTTAAATTAAGAACTCTACTCAATTGGAATATTGGTTAGGTTAGTTTAGGAATGTCTTCAAGGAAATAGATAATTGTTATTAAATGTAAATATACCTACGACTTGGTGTTTATTTTTAAGGTTTAAACAGTAATGTTAAATGGAGTATTCAATTTAAAACGCGCATATTTTTGGTATGACATATCTATTTAAATCATTAACTGAGTTTCTAAGCTAAATTTCAATACTCAGAGCGTATTGTAACTTAAATTTGTTTAATAAAAATAACCAGACTGATACTTTTGTGGATTTACTATTGGGTTACGATCTTCATCAAACTATTTTTGATCCTACAAGAGTAATAAAAGAATCATCAACATTAATAGATAATATTTTTATTAATTATACGGATTACAACACAGGAGTATTGCATACAAATTTATCAATCACTATGCTCAATTTATCTATTTCACTGTTAATAAGGATATAAAAAATATGTCAAATTTTGTTACTAGAAGAATTTTCTCAAAACATAAACTAAAATATTTCAAGCAAAATCTCGAACTAGTTGATTGGGACAATGTAACAAGTATTAATGATGTTAATACATCTTATAACAATTTTGCTTATACATTAAACCACTTTATAAATGTGATTTTTCCATATAAAAAAATAAATATTAATAATAAATCTAAAAACTGGATAAGTACAGGCATAAAGATATCCAGCAAAACAAAAAGAAATTTATATTATAAAATGAAAAATGGTATTATTGACAGCTCTGTTTATAAAAATTATAGTAGCATCTTAAAAAAAGTCATTCTAGAAGCTAAAAAGAAATATAATAATGATTTAATAATACAATCAGACGATAAAAGTAAAGCTGTCTGGACGCTTGTAAATAAAATTTCAGGGAATAAGAAAGAACATTCTGTAATTGACAATTTTGCGCAAAAATATGATAGTCCTATTTTAATACTTAATCAACTTAATGAATATTTCGCTAATCTAGACATTGATGTTAACACATCTCCAGAGTCTAACTTAAATAATACTCAAGTATGCCAGAACTCAATATTTTTGCAACCGACTACCGAATTGGAAGTTGAAAAAATTATCGCTCATTTAAAAAATAAGAAATCTGTCGGAATAGATCAAATACCTACAAGTATATTAAAAGAAAATGCAAATATCATTTCTAAGCCAATAGTGCACATAATAAATTTAATGTTTCTAACAGGGACTTATCCTGAACAACTAAAAATTGCTCAAATTAGGGCAGTTCATAAAAAAGGGAGTAAATCAGATGAAAAAAATTACAGACCTATTTCTATCCTTTCTAACATCAATAAGGTCATTGAGAAAATCATATATGAGAGATTTATAACTTTTATTGAAAATAACAGTCTATTATCCGATCTGCAAAATGGCTTTAGAAAAAACAAATCTACCATTCGTGCTATTTATCAATCCCTTTCGAAAGTATTAACCTCACTGAATAACAATAAGGTCACCATGGCTTTACTATTAGACTTATCCAAAGCATTTGATTCCGTTAATCATAAAAAACTATGTAATAAGTTAGAAAATTTTGGTATACGAGGTATTGCTCGTCAACTGGTAGAATCATATTTGGAAAACCGAATACAATGCGTATTTGATGTGGATAAGGATGGAAAAGTGTTGTACTCAAATGAAATTTCAATAAAAAAGGGTGTTCCACAAGGATCGGTTTTAGGACCATTATTGTATATACTATACACGAATGAACTTCCCACTATTTCATCTGAGGTCATGTACGCGGATGATACTGCTCTGATTTTTAGCGAATCTGACAAAGAAATATTATTGAAAAGAGTGATCGATAATATTAATACGCTAACAGAATATTTCAATGCATATGATCTAACTTTAAATATTCAAAAAACACAGACTCTTCTGTTTGCAAACCGGTCGAACGATAAAATATCTATACCATATAAAGGGCACAATCTAACTTCTAAAGACGAGGTAGTGCTTCTGGGCTTACACATCGACAAAAAACTAGACTGGAAATGTCACATAGATTTTTTAGCAAAAAATATTGCTAGATATTGTTATGCAATGAAAGTTATACGTGACCAAATAAACGAGACAGCAGCATTGAGTGCATATTATGCATATATACATTCACGCTTGAAATATGGAATTATCTTTTGGGGAAATTCTTCTGATATTAGTAGGATATTGATACTACAAAAAAGGCTGATACGAACTATGTATGGAATGCATTCGAAAGATAGCTGCAAAGGTGTATTTATCTCAAAAAATATCCTAACTGTTATTAGTATTTATGTCATGGAATCAGTGTTATTTGTAAGTGATAACAAAGATTTATTTTTACAATGCAATAGAGATCATAATCATGATACAAGATTGTACAAAAATCTAAAATCAGAAAAATGTAATTATACCTTTATTCAACAAAATGTAAAATTTAATGCTGTAAAAATTTACAATTCTTTTCCCATGGCTATTAGAAACTTGCCAAGAAACAAACTAAAGTCCGCTTTAAGGGGGTATTTAGTAAATAAAGCGTTTTACTCAGTGCAGGATTTTTTCTTAGATAGCTCAAAGGCGGCTCTAGCCGTCGGAAGTGGATTTTAATTTAAATATTAAAAAAATGTATTTGTATATTTCTAAGATATATCTAGATGTAAGGAAATTATGTTAGTTTTTTCTGCCCATAGTCAATAGCATATTATATTTTGTTTTTCTTTGTTTAGACGGGTTCCACGTTCATATGAACATTATTTGTAATTTCTTTTACTGGAATGAATAAACTATTATCTATCTATCTATCTATCTATTGTGCTCGCTATTATCCTTGTTTATATTATTATGCTTAGATTAAGGTATTATGTATATATGACCTATGATGACCAATTTTAATTATAATTATCACCAATTATCACGTTTAGGATTGTGTATGGGTATGGGCCTCATTTGGTATAAATTTTCTGAATTTAATTGCTGAATATAAACTCAAAAATACACCTATCTAAAATTTTAATTCAAATACTTGTTCCTCTCCATAATTTAATAATTATTACTTTTGTTATCTCTCTGGCAACTTTGTTCTCCTTTATTCATCTCATGTCTTTGGCCATCGTTGCCGAAATGCATGTATTTGTCCGTGTAGCTACTAGTGTGATTGTTTGGTGATTTCAGTGTGTCTTGCCTGTCCTCACGTATGGAGCTGAAACATTTACTTTGACAAAAAAGAACATACCTACATAGACGACAGGTCATGCAACGGAAAATGGAAAAGTTCATGTTGGGAATTACACTTAGGGATAAAATACCCAATCTATGGTATGATTGGGTATTTTATCGAAAGAGAATATATATAGAAATTATACAGCAGTAAGGGATGCGGTGATATCTGTCTTACATCTTAAATGGAATTCGGCTGGACATGTGGCTAGGTTCACAAATAATGGACTGTGGTCAAAGAGACTTCTAGAATGGAGGCTGAGACACGAGGCCTATAGAAGCAGAGGACGACCTCCTAGTCGATGGATAGATGATATTAAGATGGAAATTGGATCCAAGTGGCACAAAATAGAAAGAAATGGCTAGAGTTGAGGGAGGCTATTGTTCAGCAGTGGACGGAATAAACTAAAAGATGATTTATTTTTAAATTACAATAGGCATCTCAATATTGACCCCAAAACTCGAGTTTAATAACATACAATTAAAATGGCGATAAGCAAATAAATAAGTAAATACTAACATACAAATAACTATTAGGCTAGGTATTACTAGGATATTTACTTAACCAATTGTTCAATATCTTCTTTCAAATTATTTATTTCTAAATTCATTAATATTGTTATTTAACCGTGAAAGTTACATTTCGAAATAATATTATTCTTGGATTATGAGACTGACAAGTTTTTGTCACTTGGGAACGTCATAACACCGGTGTTTCTACTACTCACGGATCGTTATTAGTGTAATGATCTTTTGATTGGTTGTTTTTGTAGATAAGATTCGAGTTGACAGGAATATATCATTAGTTTTTACTAATATCTTTTCCATCTCTAATTATAGGAATTCAAAGCAGGTATTACAAACTTATTTCTCTATAAGGTAAATTATAAATATATCTCGAAATATATAGAGGGTGTTTCGCTATTTAAAATGCGATTTAGAGTTCCTAAAAATGCTCCATATCAGTTTTCTTATTTGAAAATTTTCTTTGAACCTTTTATATGAAATTTGCGAATAACAGTAAGATAATTTTTAAATTACTAAATACAAATTTCTTGCCTTGAGCTGCTATTTTCTTAAGGGAGGAACCAACTCCAACGACCGGTTTCTGGGCCTACCCTTCATCAGATGGGCTGTCCAGAGGTTGTTTTTTAGGGTTCCGTACCCAAAGGGTAAAAACGGGAACCCTATTACTAAGAGTTCGCTGTCAGTCCGTCCGCCCGTCCGTCCGTCTGTCACAAAGGTTTATCTTCTGAACCGTTATAGCTAGACAGTTGAAATTTTTACAGATAATGTATCTATGTTGCCGCTATAAGAACAAATACTAAAAACAGAATTAAATAAATGTTTATAAATAAAAAAGTACTTTCACTAAACATTATCTT